GGAAGCGGTCAGGCATGGGAGGCGGAGAAGGAGGGCCGAGAGCAGCAGCAGTGGCAAGGCTCGGGCAGCGCGATGCCTCCCTTCCCATTGGAGCAGCCCCAATCCCATTCCTACTTGCGTGCAAGCAGGAGGGGGTGGGGATCCCTCAACTGGGAAGGGAGGCTTCACACAGCCTTTCGGAGCAGTCCCATCCCAACTCCTACTTGCGTGCAAGCAGGAGGGGGCAGGGATCTCTCAGGCAGCGCAATGCCTCCCTTCTCATTGGAGCAGCCCCAATCCCATTCCTACTTGCGTGCAAGCAGGAGGGGGCAGGGATCTCTCAGGCTGCACGATGCCTCCCTTCCCATCAGAACAACCCCAATCCCATTCCTACTTGCGTGCAAGCAGGGGGATCCCTCAGCTGGGAAGGGAGGCTTCCCGTTGCCTAACTGAGAGATCCCTGCCCCCTCCTGCTTGCACACAAGTAGGAGTTGGGAGGCTGCTCCAATAGGCAGCATGAATCCTCCCTTCACAGCTCGGTTGCTGGGGTCAGGGAAGGTGGAGGCAGCCCAGAAGCTGCATCTTCGAGCCCGTGCACCACTATCATATGGGGACTTCTGAGCAGCTCCTGAAGCCAGCCAGAGCCAACTGCTCTGGGCTGCTGAGACTGCCGCTGCTGCGTTTCCTGGGGACATTAGATGAAATCCGGGGATGGAATTTGTCCGGGGACTTATTCACAAATCTGGGGACTTTTCCTTGGGAACGGGGACGTCTGGTAACCCTATCCTAGCTCCCATTCTCCCCAACCAGCTAGGCCCACGGTTAGAAATGATGGGTGATACAGTACCAACATTTAGAGTACCAGGGGTTCCCAATCCCTGATTTAGGGGGTTTCCATTTTCTATGTAGTGTTTCCACCTTCTCCTGTGACTGTGCAATGCAGGGGGACACAGGCAGTGGTGTGTAGCGATGCTTTTCAGTTATTACTGATATTCTCAGGAAGCGATCTCTGATAAGTTTCCAAGGTACCCAAGGTTGTCCTGGAATAAAATTTGAAAACCACAGTTGTAGGGCAAAAGAAAAGCCCGATTCCCCCTTTTCTTGGATCATAAGACGAACATGGCAAAAATGCATGAGATCATCTTTGCTGGCTGTCAGCCAGGCGTTTGAGCTAAAAGTTATAACTGCAGAGTATCTATCGTGAGTCCATGGATCAGATTGCTTGTTTTATTTGTCTAAGGGAGCTATCAGTCAGAGTGTGTTTGCAATAAACATTTTGGCACTTGTTCTGTGGCTTTTCCTTTCTCTCTCTCTCCCCCCCCCCTTTTTGCGTTTGAGCCAAAATTTATAACAAGGGGTTATCAAGGTCATATCTCAGTAAGGAGACAGCATATCAATTAGATATAATTTACCTCATTTTGGACTGTGTGGTATGTCTTAATAAAAAAATCCGCCTGTATATTTTCTCCCAACTTTGCACTGATGGTCCAGATATATATTATTCATACGCAGCCAAAGTGAAAAAGTTTCTTCTGTCCTCCACATCTAAGCCTGTGGGGAGATGGGGAGATGGCAATGTGTGGGGGAAAGAAGCAGCTTGGGAACAGACTAGGCTTACATCATCCATAGGATTGAAACTATGGCCCCCTGGAAGAAGGAAAAGAGCCCCCATTGCTAACCCAGTGCCCACCAGATGTTGTGGGACTTCAGCTTCCATCAGCCCCCGTCACATGCCTCAATGTGAGGAGTGATGGGAGTTGTAGGCCAAAATATCTGAAGAGTACCAAGTTGGGGGAGGCTGGGATAGCTCCTATGAAGGCCCTGCAGCTGCCTCCCCACACGGCGAATGGGAGAAGGAATACACTGGATCATAACTGACCATTATTTAGAGGAGTCAGAGGAGGACTTCAGAGGTCTAAAATTAGGATGAAGAGGGGCAGGTTGCAGTTGGTTTAGAGTCTAAAGGATATAATACTACATAGGCTTGTACGGTGTTCTATACTTACTAGGGACGCGGGTGGCGCTGTGGGTTAAACCACAGAGCCTAGGACTTGCCGATCAGAAGGTCGGCAGTTCAAATCCCAGCGACGGGGTGAGCTCCCATTGCTCGGTCCCTGCTCCTGCCAACCTAGCAGTTCGAAAGCACGTCAAAGTGCAAGTAGATAAATAGGTACCGCTCTGGCGGGAAGATAAACGGCGATTCCGTGCGCTGCTCTGGTTTGCCGGAAGCTGCTTAGTCATGCTGGCCACATGACCCGGAAGCTGTATGCCGGCTCCCTCGGCCAATAAAGCGAGATGAGCGCTGCAACCCCAGAGTGGGTCACGACTGGACCTAATGGTCAGGAGTCCCTTTACCTTTACCTATACTTACTAAGTTTTGGGAGAAAGTGTTGGGTTGTATAATTGTGACCGTTCGGAAGAAGCTAAAAAAATTTCAGCAGAGAGCATTCTTCTGAACTATATGTGGGAATGTTCAGGGACAGAGCCGTCTTTCCCGTTGGGTTTACTGGCGCGTTGCACCAGGGCGCCAGCCTCTCAGGAGCGCCCCAGTGAGTGGGGGAGCTGCATGGCTTTACCGGTGGCCTCCCCTTTCCCTCCTACACACCTGCCAGCTGTGCGCCATCAACCATATGGCGGGTGGGTGGGCAGCTTGCCTCCCAAGCCTACACAGGAGGAGAGCGGTCCCCGCAGAGGCTTGGGAAAAGGTCAACAACTCTGGGAAACGGGGGGGTGGCGTGCCGGAGGGATCTTTGCACCATGACGCCAGATATGCTTAAGATGGCCCCGTTCAGGGAGGCAGGAGAGGATATATCGTTTAATGATATCCTTCCAAACTTGTGTTAGCAAGTTCTATGTCTTAGCAGTTTAAACATTCCCCTTTAAACGCTCAGCGGTTTGCTTGTTGCATGTTCGTCTGAACCTCTCTATATAATATTCCTGGTAAGATCCCTTCTTGTCCTTCTTAAAAAGAATATACACGGTAATCTTATTAAAGTGAATATAAAAACAGTTTACTCACATTCATTCAGTTCACAGTTAGATCCCTGAAGGCAGACTTAGGTTACAAAAGTATATATACATGTGGGATTATCCCATAAGGGAGTTAGTCCCAAGTGACTGCAGACAGGCAGTCACTCCTGCTCATACATAGAGAAAAATAAAAATGAAGAAGAGAGGAGCAAAAGAAGATGGTGTGTTCGTCTGACCCAGATTAGGCCACACCCCCTCTAGTCACATGCAGAGGAAGTTTGTCCCAGCGCAGGAGGAAACAGGAAGTTTTCTCCTGGCTGGTACAAAGCATCCCCTAGCCTAGCAAGTCCATTCTAGGAATGTTGTACTTGACTGCCATGTGTTTCACATTCCACACTAGATACCTATTGTATGGAAGTTAACATTGGGAAAATGGATTCTATGCGCTCTCATGGTAGCCAAGAGACTCATATTGATGAACTCGAAGAATAAATATATGATCCCCTTTAATGAATTGATCGACAATATGATAACACTCGCAACTTATGAACAGACGGCTCAAAGACGTAGTCTTTGCATGGATAAATATGGCAATATTTGGAATGAGTTTATACAAAACGTAGTAGGCTTTTAATATTTACATATGTATTAGGATAATAATATCAAATTTTTAAAAGAATGTATGGGTTGGGATATTGTTCGTATGCATTCATATGTTGTTGTTTTTCTCTACACATTTTTGTGCCTTTTGGTTTTTTTCTTCTTCTCTTTTTACCACTTTATTTCTTTATAATTGACAACTTTTCAATAAGATATTAATACCTCCCCCAAACAGGGATATAATGCACCCCCTAAACCTGTTCTAGGTTTCTCCTCAACCCTTCATAGCAGATTTGGGGGGTGGGGCAACAATTTAGCTGAAGTTTCAGAACAAGCTAACTTGTGCCAGGGCTGTCTAACCATGCCAGTCTTCCTGGACATCTCCACAGAATGGGACACGACCCCATTCCCTCCTCACTGGTCCAAATAGCTAGCATGCTTTGCCTTTAATAAGTCTGTGGCCTCCTTAATCCCAGCTTTTTAATTAACCCTTTTTGAATGCCTTTTCCTCAGCAGTCCACGGTAGAATTTCAAATTCTCAGGAACAGCCCTTCAACAACAATCAGAAGCCATAAACTAATTTGACAGGAAGGCCTCGTTAACATTGTTACGGCCACCCAGAAGTTGCTGGATCCAAGGTGCTTGGCTCCATCTTGTAGAAGTAATTTTGTTTAAGGCAAAGTTGTTTCTACAATGTAAACAGAAAACTCTGCTCCATCGTTGCAGCTTAGCCACGACCAAGCACCTTCATCATCTTAATAATGACCATATGTTGAAACAGCAGGGCCTGTCAGCTCTCTCATAGCTTGTAAGTGCATTTCTGTGAAAAGTACTTTAGGGAATGATTGCAGCGCAACATTATCTTCAACCAATGGGAATCTTTGTATGGTAACTAAGTGCATCAAGTGTGGGCTTGCTCATAGCAGCAACTATTCCTCTCTCTCTCTCTCTTAAGTGAGAGGTGCTCTAAAGAACGGTAATCTTAACCAGCGAAGCCCTGCAACAAAATGTTGCAGTGTGAATTGCTCTTGTCCATTCTTGAATGATACAGTGGTACCTCAGGTTACATCCGCTTCAGGTTACAGACTCCGCTAACCCAGAAATAGTGCTTCAGGTTAAGAACTTCGCTTCAGGATGAGAACAGAAATAGTGCTCCAGCGGCACGGCGGCAACAGTAGGCCCCATTGGCTAAAGTGGTGCTTCAGGTTAAGAACAGTTTCAGGTTAAGAATGGACCTCCGGAACGAATTAAGTACTTAACCCGAGGTACCACTGTATTCCGTTCCCACCCCCTCAGTTTTCTGTCATTGTTGTACACCATCTTGCCTAAAATACAATTTTATTTTATTTTTGCAAGGCGTATTTTCCTTGCTGATTTTGAAAAACACATTTCCCCCTAACATCTATATATTTTCTGTATATTACTTTCAGCAGTGCAGGCGTTTTTATGGAGGGCTGCATTGTGAATTTCGAAAGACAGCTGTGTTTCGGCTCGCATACACTTTGGGAAAGTGAAAATGAGGTAGGTTCATTTTTGCATGCAAAATGAATAAAATGTATTTTCCCCCATCTCTAGATAAGGTAGGGGTTGTGGGTTTGGGTGGGCTTCTTTCCATTAAATGCTTCTCCAGCACCCCGCAGTCTCCCTGGCTGTCCGTGCTTCCCGATATGTCAATGTCCCATGAGAGGATTTACCTCCTGACAACTTCTCCTGGATTTTATTTGAAGCATGGGAAATCAAAAAGGCTGGCTACCCTAGAACCTGGAAATAGTGCACATGCTGAGTTTTGAGAGCCAGTGTGGTGTAGTGGTTAAGAGCAGCGGACTCGTAATCTGGTGAACCGGGTTCGCTTCCCCGCTCCTCCACATGCAGCTGCTGGGTGACCTTGGGCCAGTCACACTTCTCTGAAGTCTCTCAGCCTCACTCACCTCACAGAGTGTTTGTTGTGGGGAAGGGAAAGGAGATGGTTAGCCGCTTTGAGAGTCCTTAGGGTAGTGATAAAGTCAGGTCCAAACTCCTCCTCCTCCTCCTCCTCCTCCTCCTCCTCCTCCTCCTCCTCTTCTTCTTCTTCTTCTTCTTCTTCTGTTCTTTCTATCTACCTTTTTAAAAAGAAAACGCAACTATTTCTGCACTGATTTCTTTAAAAGTAAATCCCAGTGTTGCACCATATGTGCCGTTGGGAATGCATTCCAGAGGGCAGGTACCAGCACACTAAAGGCCTGAGCCATAGTGAACATGCATTAAACCTCAGGAACACTATAGCATCTTTTGCACAACAGGTGGCACTATGGGTTAAACCACAGAACCTAGGGCTTGCCAATCAGAAGGTCGGCGGTTCGAATCCCCGTGATGGGGTGAGCTCCCATTGCTCGGTCCCTGCTCCTGCCAACCTAGCAGTTTGAAAGCACGTCAAAGTGCAAGTAGATAAATAGGTACCGCTCCAGCGGGAAGGTAAACGGCGTTTCTGTGTGCTGCTCTGGTTCGCCAAAAGTGTCTTGGTCATGCTGGCCACATGACCTGTATGCCGGCTCCCTCGGCCAATAAAGCGAGATGAGCGCTGCAACCCCAGAGTCGGTCACGACTGGACCTAATAATCAGGGGTCCCTTTACCTTTAACAGCATCTCTCTAGGTTGGAGGCAAAATAGAGGGCAGTATTAGAGGGCTCAGAGAACCCTGAGGTTTGCAGCAATACAATTTTTCTTTAAAGCTCTTCCTAGAAGTTAAGGACAACATTTTCTTGCAGGTCCATCTTGTAACTCTTTGTGGCCTCGTCCCAATCCTTTCACCTTGCATGTACAGTAGTACCTCGGGTTACATACACTTCAGGTTACAGACGCTTCAGGTTACAGGCTCTGCTAACCCAGAAATAGTACCTCGGGTTAAGAACTTTGCTTCAGGATGAGAACAGAAATCGTGCTCCGGCAGCGCGGTGGCAGCGGAAGGCCCCATTAGCTAAAGTGGTGCTTTGGGTTAAGAACAGTTTCAGGTTAAGAACGGACCTCCAGAACGAATTAAGTACTTAACCCGAGGTACCACTTTATGTCCATGTAGTCATCCTCTCCCCCTCTGCCAGAGTGCTGTTTGTTAGTACAGAGCAGGGAGTCAGCAACCTAAGGTCCATGGCCTGGAAGCAGCCCACGGAGGTCGTTTGACAGGCCCATGAGCCACCCTCAAACGAAGCTGCCTGCACTAAACTGGTGCGGCGCAGCACAGGGACTCGCTTCCACAGTGCTGAAAATTGCATCTGCGCAGACTAAGATATAGAAAATCGTGGGCGCGAATGCGCAGACGCTGAAAATCACGGGCGTGCGCAATCACTCACATACACAATCTGGCCCAAGGAGGGATCTCCATGGGACCGATCCGGCCCCAGCAAGATAAACCTTGCTAACCGCTGGAATAATAATAATAATAATAATAATAATAATAATAATTTATTATTTATACCCCACCCATCTGGCTGGGTTTCCCCAGCCACTCTGGGCAGCTTCCAACAAAACATTAAAATACAATAACCTATTAAACATTAAAAGCTTCCCTAAACAGTGCTGCCTTCAGATGTCTTCTAAAAGTTTGGTGGTTATTTTTCTCTTTGACATCTGGTGGGAGGGCGTTCCCAGGCTGTGCACCTTGTCCTTCAGGGGCACAGTTACCCTATTCAGGACTAGGGAGTCCTCCACACCCACCTGCCTCCTGTCCCCCAAAAACAGTACTTCTGTCTTGTCAGGATTCAGCCTCAATCTGTTAGCCGCCATCCATCCTCCAGCCACCTCCAGACACTCACACAGGACCTTCACCGCCTTCACTGGTTGTGATTTGAAAGAGAGGTAGAGCTGGGTATCATCCGCATACTGATGAACACCCAGCCCAAACCCCCTGATGATCTCTCCCAGCGGCTGCATGTAGATGCTGAAAAGCATGGAGGAGAGGACAAAACCCTGAGGCACCCCACAAGTGAGAGCCCAGGGGTCTGAACACTCATCCCCCAACACCACTTTCCGGACATGGCCCAGGAGAAAGGAGCGGAACCACTGTACAGTGCATCTGACACCCTGGGTCCACACCAAACACTTTTGAAACCAGTTTCACTCCGCCTTGGCATTCAACACTTGCTACGTAAAATCTGGCTCTCTTGAGTCCCAAAACATCCCATCCATTTGACAGCTCTCCTTCAATCCATCTTCTCAACCCCAAACACTGGTGATACCAGGGGTGCCAACTTGAGTAAATATGGGGGGGGGAGCCCTGCCCTGCATAATCAATCACACGATGCAGTGCATTTGAATAGCAATGCCCATCAACTTTGGGGGACCACGGCGTCCCGCTCAAATATTTTATTGGGAGGACCAAAGGGACCTTGGCCTCCTAGGAGTTGGCTCCTATGAGTGATACTCCAGGCTGTTAGCTTCTAAAGACAAACCAACACACATCTTTTGCCTTTTGTTCACACAGTGTTTTTGAATACCCTTTCCTAAGAGTCTGAGATCCCCTTTCTGTCACATTTCCAGTCCAGTGTTTTGCACTGACACTCTAAAAACAGAGGGAAACAGTGGGAGGTATCTGGTTCCAACTGAGCTTCCTCAGGCTCATAAACCATTTTCTGGTTGCTCCTGAGAACTATCCCAGCTCCTGGACTTTTCTCAATGACACTTCATTAGCCCATGTGTGGAGCTGACACATCTCGCCTCTCCATCAACTGACCTTTTGGACAGTCAAGCAGCTCACTGCACTAAGCTAACTCTCCCCACCACTGCCAAAGTTGGAATTTGTAGTTGAAACCAAGCAGGTGACTTGAAGGCAGCTGTGAAAAGCTGAGCAGTCATAAAAGCGCAAGCTGTCCATTCAAAGAGAATCATCACTGTGCAAGCGCCTAAAGCAGACATAGCCAGCACTGTGCTCTCCACAGTTTATTGGACTACAACTCCCATCAGCCCTAGCCAACACAGTCAATGGTGAGAGATGATGGGAGTGGAGTCCAACAGCATCTGCAGGGAGCAAGTTGAGGAAGGCGGATCTAAAGCAGTAATCCGCAGCGCTCTCCACTGGCTGGGCTTACGAATCAGAGGACAGAAATGAGAAGAACTGGAAGAAGTGTGAGTGCCTGGAGGTGGTTGGAGGATGGATGGCGGCTAACGGATTGAGGTTGAATCCTGACAAGACAGAAGTACTGTTTTGGGTGGACAGGAGGCGGGCAGGTATGGAGGACTCCCTTGTCCTGCATGGGGTAACTGTACCCCTGAAGGAGGAGGTGCACAGCCTGGGAGTCATTTTGGACTCACAGCTGTCCATGGAGGCGCAGGTCAATTCTGTGTCCAGGGCAGCTGTTTACCAGCTCCACCTGGTACGCAGGCTGAGACCCTATCTGCCCGTGGACTGTCTCGCCAGAGTGGTGCATGCTCTAGTTATCTCCCACTTAGACTACTGCAACACGCTCCACGTGGGGCTACCTTTAAAGGTGACCCGGAAACTACAATTAATCCAGAATGCAGCAGCTAGACTGGTGACTGGGAGTGGCCACCGAGACCACATAACACCAGTCTTGAAAGACCTGCATTGGCTCCCAGCATGTTTCCAAGCAAAATTCAAAGTGTTGGTGCGGACCTTGAAAGCCCTAAACCGCCTCAAAGGCCCAGTATACCTGGAGTGTCTCCACCCCCATCTTTCTGCCCGGACACTGAGGTCCAGAGCCAAGGGCCTTCTGGCGGTTCCATCACTGCAAGAAGTGAAGTTACAGGGAACCAAGCAGAGGACCTTCTTGGTAGTGGCACCCACCCTGTGGAATGCCCTCCCATCAGATGTCAAAGGAATAAACAACTATCTGACGTTTAGAAGACATCTGAAGGCAGCCCTGCTAAGGGAAGTTTTTTAATGACTGATGTTTTAATGTATTTTTAATCTCCTGTTGGAAGCCACCCAGAATGGCTGGGGAAACCCTGCCAGATGGGTGGGGTATAAGTAATAAAATTATTATTATTATTAGAAGCCCAATGCCCTTCCTTTTCTTCATCCTAGCCCTGGCCACAGCTCCATCATCTTGTTTCTGGTATTATTCCTCACCCCTGCATGGGACCAAATCTCAGCCTCTACTCTGGCCTTAAGCTGAAGTTGACATCTGGCTAGGTTGGTCAAGGTGTCAACTCCAGAGAGAAAGGGTCAGAGTCACAAGCCTTCTAGTGAGCCGAGTCTGGCTCAGTGTTCTGGGGGTTTGCATGCAGGGGCCCAACAGATAAGGGACATTCAGGAATATTTCATTCATTAATCAATAAAATAATATGGCAGCCAGAGATGACATATTCCAAAGTATATCTAGACGGAAGCTGAAAACTAGGCCTGTGCACAGTCCCTATTCCTCATTCCCTGATCCAGTTCAGAGACTGATTTGGCATAGTGGATCAGGCCCAATCTAATCTGGGACCAGTGCCAGATTTACATATAAGCTAAACAAGCTATAGCTTAGGGCCCCACTCTCTTGGGGCCCCCCCAAAAAAATTAAAGGGAAAAAAAACCTGGATGTACATTTCCAAAATATAAGATAAAAAACAAAACGAAGAAAACCTACATACAGCAACAGTGTTTGTGTTGTGTCGGCTCCTATGATGTAAGTAATGGGCCCCGCCTGCTAGCCTGCTCCCTAAAATATCACTGGTTTGCTCATTTACTTTGATGAAATACATATTTTGTTATGTGCAAATGGCTTTAGATACCTATTAGGTCCATAAATTACCATATAGCATATATTCAACACAAAAAAACAGAGACAATTTGTTGTTGACAAAGGACAGCTGGATATATAAAGGTCCCCATTACCTTCAGTAGCTTAGGGCCTCATCAAACCTAAATCCGGCCCTGTCTGGGACAGTCCGATCCCAACCTGAGCCTTGAACCCAACTGGGAGCCTTGCAGAGCCTTTTAAGTTTAATTAAGATTTTAAATCCTAATGAAATGTGGTTTGTGGGGGGGGGGAGAAGGAGGTGCAGGTGGAGACTCTTGCCTGTGTCTCCTTCTCCCCACCCCACATGTTTAATAGATTCCTGCATTGCAGAGGTTTGGACTAGATGATTATCGTGGTTCCTTTCAACTCTATGGTTCTATGTGGTTGGTTTCAAGGAAGGGGGAAATAAAGACAGGTGACAGTCTCCTTCTTCTGCTCCATGCCACTGGCCACATACTGTATTTAATTAGGGTTAAAAACCTGATTAAACATGCAGTTACTGTTAGAATTCCTGATCTATGGTTGCAGTCATGGGATTGTTGTCTATCACATGACGGTGTATGTTTTGACCCCACAGAGTGGGAAGTGACAGAGACAGGATGTTTGTGTTACTGTGTTCCGTGAAGTGGGACTATTGTCCTTTGTTCTTTTTCTCTTTGCTGTCTGATGCTAGAGAGAGAGAGAGGGAGCCATGTTGCAGTGCTCCATGTGTGTTTATATGTGTGCTGGTCCCGGGGGGGGTTACCGTGCTGCGAGGTCTGAGTCCGGTCCTGGGTCAAGGGTCTGGAGGCTGTCCATCAAGGGTGAAGCAGGGTCCAAGGCAAGGAGCCGGGCATGGTCAGGAACTTCAGAAGAGCAGGTCAGGCTCCTGGCCTTAAGGCGAGCACTCCTCCTGAGAGAACCCAGTTCCCTCCGCCTCTCTGCCCTGAGCCTCTGCAGCTCAGGAGAGGCTGGAGGGTTACTGGACCCAGAGGCAACCTCACCTTCCCCTGACAGGGCTGGGAGAGGAGCACCAGCAGGCAATGGGTCCTCGATCACCTCCGGAGCAAGAGCGGATTCAGCTGGTGTCTGCTCCTGAGGATCCAGCACAGGTGGGGGCCCTTCAGATTCAAGCCCCTGCCCCGGCTCAGCTGGCCCTGGAGGCGGGGACTCCTGTGCAGGCTGGGATTCCTCCGATTCAGCCTCTGAATCAGATTCCCAGGCCATCACAATATGTAAATAAAGTAGATTAGCCAAAATGCTGAGTTGCTGAGGTCTGTCACACAAGTTGCACAAACACTGCAGATCCCTAAGTGTGCTGGTGTCGGTTGGCATCGGTCGCTGTGATGTTCGGGCTGAAGAAAGCTTTTGAAGCTCCCCAACGATCAACCAGGAGGAAGGGAACATGCCAGTCGGGCATGTGTCTCTGCCAGGGTTCTACTCGAGTGTAGGCTGAACTCCTGACAGTAATCCAGTCCTTGGTGGACCTTACCTGATCTGGGGCTCTCTCAAACCACTCCAGTGCACACCCCTTTTGAAAACACCTGTTGTTGTGTTGACATCTGGGGCCAGGTCAGAACCATCCTGCAAATGTCCAAAGAAATCATATTACTGTATATATTTTATGGAGACGTACTGGTGAGGGTCGGCACAGTTATCACAATCCCAACCATATCTCCGGGAAACGTGCAAAGGAGCGAGTGGTTTTCAACACTAACCAGCGAAAGCTAACACAGTAGCAGATTTTTCCAACATTCACCAGACCATTTGAGAGTGTGTAGTTAACATTTCCAGGTTTATCTCTGACTCCATCAACATTCTCAGACATTCGCAAGAGGAGTCAGAAAATGGTGACACCCACCAGTGGCCAATAATAATAATAATAATAATAATAATAATAATAATAATAATAAATTTTATTTATATCCCGCCCTCCCCAGCCAAAGCCAGGCTCAGGGCGGCTAACAACAAACAAATAATCAAACAATCAAATAATGCAACATTCTAAAACATTTCATTATAAAAATTAATTAAAATCAAATTAATGGCAACCGTTAAGCAAAGTTCTGTGCAGGTTGCCAGAGGAAGGAGTCAGGCTGGGCCCTGACCAAAGGCCTGGTGGAACAACTCTGTCTTGCAGGCCTTGCGGAAAGATGTCAGGTCCCGCAGGGCCCTAGTCTCTTGTGACAGAGCGTTCCACCAGATTGGAGCCGCAGCCGAGAAAGCCCTGGCTCTAGTTGAGGCCAGCCTAACCTCTCTGAGGCCTGGGACCTTCAGGATGTTTTTATTTGCAGACCGTAGGTTCCTCTGTGGGGCATACCAGGAGAGGCGGTCCCGTAGCAGTCACAGGTCTTCATAGTAACCTTATGTTACAAATCAAAAAGTTTCTGCCAAGTTAAAATGATGCCATTACAATTCTACCCGTCCTCAGGCAATCTGGAACTGGTATTTTTGCATCATAGTCTTGCCCTTTTTAAAATTGCCAGCAATGATTACATTTTGGCAGCAAACAGGGTTTCATCAGTTTCTGGTATGTTTAAAATACTGTAAAAGATCTGTATCTTTCAGATGAGATGGTATCAGCTTTATTTTTGACGTGCCTGGACTGAATAGTTTGCTTTGGGAACAACCAATCGCATGGCCTTTTGTGAGGATAGGACCATTAAATGGGTTAGTCACAAGATGTCGCTGGGCTTAGCTACACCTAGGTGGAGTCAGGAGTTTCCTGTGTCTGTTGTACTTTCGTTTAAGATAGACAATAAACTTCTTGTCTGGGTTCTCTCGACTTGGAGTGACCTCTAAGCCTTCCATGACACATTTTATTTCTTCTTCTTTTTCCATATACGAACTTGCTTTGAAGTTCTTTGAAGTTCTCGGCCCAGCCCAAGCCTTTGAGTGTTGGGATGCTTGAGACCTGCTCCTAGAGGGAAGTGCGTAGCAGCAGTGCCCTTTCACAAACTTGGGGGGCAAAGAGGGAAGGGAGTGTGGTGAAGGAACCGGCAAAATGGAAAATAGCCATCTTAAGTATGAGAACTTCAAACGGGCACTACCAGATGATGCTCATTCAGCCCCCAAGTCTAACTAAAACTTACCTTTCCCTAGTTTGGGCCTCTCATGTGAGGCTGTGTTGTAACATCGTCAGGCTTTTACGAAGCGCAGTACACAGGAAATCATATTTGAAGGCCATGGCATGTGTGGTATTTTTTTAAAGGTCACTTTGCTTTTTAATAGAGCCCTGTACTTTTAACTGCATTTCCCCTCCCGATTCATTCTTCCGCTAATCTATTTTTAAAACGATATCCCTTCCAACAGGAGGCATAGTAATGTAATTCCTCAGAAAATTAGCGACTGATAAACATCCAGTTTTTGTGTGTGTGTGTTCTAGTCCAAAAGTTAATCCAGCGCTGATCAAATCCCTTTGGAAGAGGAAAGCATACATTGTTCTGGTGTGTGCTTCAGATCCTTTTGCAAGCAATCCAACCCACTCTATTCAAGCCTTCAAGCCAACATTTAGGAAAGGCCATTTACATGTTCTGTATAGTAAAAGCTATGGTTTTCCCAGTAGTGATGTATGGAAGTGAAAGCTGGACCATAAAGAAGGCTGATCGCCGAAGAATCGATGCTTTTGAATTATGGTACTGGAGGACACTCTTGGGAGTCCCATGGACTGCAAGAAGATCAAACCTCTCCATTCTGAAGGAAATCAGCCCTGAGTGCTCACTGGAAGGACAGATCCTGAAGCTGAGGCTCCAATACTTTGGCCACCTCATGAGAAGAGAAGACTCCCTGGAAAAGACCCTGATGTTGGGAAAGATTGAGGTCACAAGGAGAAGGGGATGACAGAGGACGAGATGGCTGGACAGTGTTCTCGAAGATACCAGCATGAGTTTGACCAAACTGCGGGAGGCAGTGGAAGACAGGAGTGCCTGGCGTGCTCTGGTCCATGGGATCACGAAGAGTCGGACACGACTAAATGACTAAACAACAACAACAACATTTACATGTTCAGAAGGTTCAGGCTGTATGTACTTAATAAGGCACATTTATGATACTGAAATGAAAACTGCACTGTATTAGAAGATGGCACAGTGACAGGAGTGATTTGCCTTAGACCAGCGTTCCTCAGTCTTGGGTCCCCAGATGTTAGCAAGCTTAGCCAATGGCCAAGAATGATGGGACTTGTAGTCTCAGGTGAAGAACACTGCCTTGAACAGGGGTCAGCAAACTTTTTCAGCAGGGGGCCGGTCCACTGTCCTTCAGACCTTGTGGGGGGCCGGACTATATTTTGGGAGGGGGCAGGGGAATGAACGAATTCCTATGCCCCACAAATAACTCAGAGATGCATTTCAAATAAAAGGACACATTCTACTCATGTAAAAACTCGCTGATTCCTGGACCATCCATGGACTGGATTTAGAAGGTGATTGGGTCAGATCCGGGCCCCGGGCCTTAGTTTGCCTACCCATGGCCTTGAACCATCCAAAAGGAGAACTAATAGTGAGTGGAAGTAGCTGTGGGTCTGGCTCTCTTATTGACTCCATCTTGATGGTGACTGAAACTGCTGCTGTGGATGGTCCCTAAATACCAAAAGCATGGTTACAAATTTAACTACATCTGGAACACTGACGGCAGAACCACATGTCGTTGTTTTGGTTTTACAGTGGTACCTCGGGTTAAGTACTTCATTCGTTCCGGAGGTCTGTTCTTAACCTGAAACTGTACTTAACCTGAAGCACCACTTTAGCTAATGGGGCCTCCTGCTGCCGCCGCACCGCCAAAGCACGATTTCTGTTCTCATCCTGAAGCAAAGTTCTTAACCTGAAGCACTATTTCTGGGTTAGCGGAGTCTGTAACCTGAAGCGTATGTAACCTGAAGCGTATGTAACCCGAGGTACCACTGTACTGATATGCAGCTACAGTTGGTTGGGAATATCTTCAGACTAGCAAACAGGTTTTTATTATCTCTTTCGCAACCACACCATTTCCTCCATAGTTATTTTTCTTCCTGTGAGGCAAGCAGCAGCTAGGGGGTGGAAGGATTCTGATCAGGAAAAGGAGGCAGAACTGGTAGCCTTCACCTTCCTCCCTCTCCATGGCTGTATATCACGGTTTAAAACGGTCCAATGTGGACAGGTGTCCATGGCAGGAGTGGAGTGCACCAGAAAGAGGCTACCTCTCCCCTATGCCGCACTGCATGTTCATGTGGTGCCCAGTGTCAAATCATTTGTGGGCAATCAGATTCTAGACCAGGGTTCCATACACAACAGGAGCAGCTTCCTCGCTACAATCTAGTGAAAGTCAGCTTTTGCCAGGATGCTGTCAGCTGCTCCCGGCTGGTTGCCCAGGAAAGAATAAAGACAAGGAATTGTTTCTTATCGTCTTTTTTTTTATTTCAATATTTACAGGGAGAGGCTATAGAACCCAGCCTCTTGGATAATGGCATTGTCCTGAGTGAATCTCCACCTCCCGTCTCTCCCACTTCCTCAATCATCTCTCTTACGGGTGCTGCTACATGCCCTCTGTCTTTGAGCTCTTTGCTCTCCTACTTTTAAGGCTCGCCAGGCTCTGGGAGATGGAGGGTCTGGGATGCTTTCTAATGACAACGTGTCAGCCAGGTGTTGTTCTGACTTTCCCATGATTTCCCAGCTTTACCCCTCACCTGCCTCTGAGCTGCTACCTCCCTCAAATCCCTGTTGTAAATCTGTACTGTCTTCCTCTTCCTCCTCTCTGGAGGGGTCAGGATGGGGAGGCAATCTCCACCATTCCTCCTCTGCCCAGTCCCTAACAGCCTTTAACAGAAATAGTAGCAGTTCAAAAGCACATGCAAGTGGCCCCCCCTCCAAGTTGATGGGCATTGCCATTCAAATAGTGTTCATGCACCATTTTGGGGAATCGATTGTGTGGGGTGGGGGCTTGCCTGCTCCCTCCCAAATATTTTCTTCAAGTTGGCACCCCTGATTTCAACAAATGTCTTGTGCATGATAGCTCTCTTCAGGCATTGAAGAGTGAGGGGGCAAGGTCACTGGCCCGGACCCCTCCCCACTGCCCTTCATACATTGGGGGGAGGGCTAAATGCCTGCAGCTCAGAGGTTTCTCCACCCTAGGCTCTCACACAGTTTAGAACCTGCATAGTTAGATGAAGTTTACGGCATGTAATGCCTTAAGAGAGAATATTATGAAAATGATATACAGGTGGTACATAACCCCAGTCAAGCTTGCAAAAATCTACCATTTGCCCGATAATAAGTGTTGGAAATGTAAAGAAACTGAAGGTACATTCTTTCACCTTTGGTGGACGTGCCCAAGGATTAAGGTTTTCTGGGAGATGATTTATAATGAATTAAAAAGGTATTTAAATATACCTTCTTGAAGAAACCAGAGGCCTTTCTCCTGGGCATAGTCGGCCAATCGGTGTTAAAGAAGGACAGAACTTTCTTTATGTATGCTACAACAGCAGCAAGAATACTTATTGCAAAGCATTGGAAGACACAAGATCTACCCACACTGGAGGAATGGCAGATGAAAATGATGGACTACATGGAATTGGCGGAAATGACTGGTAGAATCCGAGACCAGGGAGAAGAGTCGGTGGAAGAAGATTGGAAGAAATTTAAAGACTACTTACAGAAATATTGTAAAATTAATGAATGTTAGAATGATGTTGGATTGAAGTTAAGTGGTTTCTAGCTGTAATGGTATAAAAGAACATGGAAAAATTGTATTTTCAATACGTAAAAACCTAATGCTATAATATATTAAGATTAAAGATTAGGATTAAAAAGGAGGGAAAGGAATTGCTGGACTAATAAATTGAACTGGAATACAAAAAAGGGAGGTATGAGGAGGTCCGGGAAACAAGTAAATGTAAGAGAAGTGATGAAAAGATGGAATTGTTTTTAAATTTTTTTTTTTTGTATTTTGTATTTTTCTTTTTTCTATTTTTCTCTTTCTTACTTATGTATCCTTCTTTTGAAACCTTAATAAATATCATTAAAAAAAAATAGAACCTGCATAGTTAGGGTTCGAAACTGCTCGGGGAGCCCTCATTTACTGATCAGGCTCCCTGCTGCAGACACTGAACTCCCCATTTTTGGAGAGTGAGGCTGATGGGTGACATGGAATTAACGCAATAATAAGAAAAATGTATTCCTTTACACAACAGCAGCTGCCAGAATATTGATTTCAAAAAACTGGAAGGGGGAGAAAATCCCATCACTACTAGAATGGCAAAACAAACTCTGTGAGTTTGTAGAAATGGCAAAATTGACGGCAATTATTAGAGGCCAGTCAAATCAGAGAATAATTAGAGCGTGGGATGGAGTGAAAGGAATACATGAAAAAATATGGTTCCGGAATTGAAATATTAATAGAGAATGTGTAAAGCGTGCAAGGGTAAGCAAGAAAATAATAATAGAATCCATTGAATAATTATTAAATTATAACAACACAAGAAGATGGAAGAAGTAAAATATTGAGATCACACATGGGTGAAGGGGAGTGGGGGGTATATGGGAACCTATAATATCATTTATAATATAATTTGTTAATTGCGTTGTCTTTACATATAGCAAAGGGAAGCCTAGAGCAATTAGATATATTTCAATTTAGGTAATATATGTAATAGGCTTATGTTAGAAAATGAATACGGATTTTGAATTTGATGTTTGTAATTTTTTTAGGTTTTGAAATATATATATTTTTAAAAGGAATTAACACAGTAAACCTCTGAGCGACCACCACAGCCAGGATTGTGTAAGAGATCTCAGAGAGGCCGTTCTCAAGAAAACTAGTTCTGGTGGATGTATTTTGGCTGTTGTTGTTATTGCTATTATATTTATTATCTGCTCTTCACCAGTGGGTCCCAGAGTGGGTTACAACCTTTTAATGTTTAGCATTTTGGGGGGGGGGGGACCAGGAAGAACATATCACATGCATGGTGAAGGAAAAAGGGAAAGGTAAAAGGTAAAGGACCCCAGATGGTTAAGTCTAGTCAAAGGCAACTATGGGGTTGCGGCGCTCATCTCGCTTTCAGGCCAAGGGAGCTGGCGTTTGTCCACAGACAGCTTTCTGGGTCATGTGGTCAGCAGGACTAAACCGCTTCTGGTGCAACAGGACACAGTGACAGAAACCAGAGAGCACGGAAACGCCGTTTATCTTCTCACCACAGTGGTACCTATTTATCTACTTGAACTTCTACTTGCTTTTGAACTGCTAGGTTGGCAGGAGCTGGGACAGAGCAACGGGAGCTCACCCCGTCACGGGGATTCGAACCGCCAACCTTCTGATTGGCAAGCCCAAGAGGCTCAGTGGTTTAGACCACAGCGCCACCCGCATCCCTGCCATGGTGAAGTGAAAGAACAGGACTGTACAGTGTTACCTCTGGTTACGAACATAATTCGTTCCAGAGGTCCGTTCTTAACCTGAAGCACCACTAGCTAATGGGGCCTCCTGCTGCTGCCGCGATGCCGCGACGCGATTTCTGTTCTCATCCTGAAGCAAAGTTCTTAACCCGAGGTAATATTTCTGGGTTAGCAGAGTCTGTAACCTGAAGCGTATGTAACCCGAGGTACCACTGCACTGCATGATGCAGCAGCTATGGGTTTTTTCTTCCACTGCAAATATATGAATGAACTATATGTTAAGAACACATTTTAGGTTGCAATCTTATACACACCTGGAAATAAGGTCAATGGATTGCATTATAATATTGTTAATGCAACCCCAACCCCCCACAAAAAAGATTTTTTTTAAATCAAAAGTGTATCTTAATCAATGTAACTCAATCTCCTGCTAATATAAGAAATGCAAAATAATTTATTGTGTTTAATATTAGCATGATTAATCACAACCACGTTTATTTGTTGCATAATCTATAAAATGTCTCAGAGTGACTTACAACTGTAAACAGAAGTTTTAAACAGCATATTCACCTAAAGGTCCCATCCCACAATATTATAAAGAGGACAAAGAAGTAATAATAGATTGTGGTAAAGGCCCAGCAGAGTTTCAAGGTTCTGCCTTTGTAAAGATTTGTCTGAAATAAAATAAAAATTAAATGCTTTTCTTCCAGAATTTTTTTCTTTAATAAAGAAACAATGAGCTAGCCCGCATTGCTTTTTCCTTCAAGAAACCGATCTTGTTGGCCGTGACCTCTTAAAAAAAAAATCCAGTTAGTATGTTAATCTCCAAAACAGCCACACTGTCAACAGCGAGTAATGTTGTGAATTGTACAAGCATACTTGAGTTTTCCTCTCTCATGTGCACATCGTGTCCAGGGAGCTATTAAATGCATACACATGGCTAATTGCATGCTGTGGTATAATGAGGTGAGCTTTAGGAATGGCAAAGTTTTCCACTCCCTGCATTTCCAGGTGATGTCTGATGCCCTGTATAGAATAACAAAAAAGTTGCAAGAGTTCCCGAGAGCATGGTGTGATTCATTCAGTTGCAGACATTCTGGAATAGAAGCCTTTGAGACACGCCAGCAGCAAAGTGGAAGGACTCTCTGGCAAAAGACTCTTGCTTTTTCCCTTCCCCATACCCCAACAAAACATTCTAAACATATTTTCCCACTTTCCAAATATCAGTTCTGTTTCCACTTTCCCCCACCTAGCCTACTCACACACACACACACACACACATCCTTCCCCCCCCCACCCCACCCCTGTGTGTCTTTGTGTTTTTCCTTGAAGTGGAAAATGACCTTTATGTCTGATCTTGAAATTCTAATCGAAATAATTCACCAGTGCCAATGACGTCTGCTTGCCCAAAACAATAACCGACAGAGAGAGAGAAAGAACATTTGGCAGCCTCAAAAAGAGCAGAATTGGCTATCAAGGTACGCCTTGTCTAGGCACACAACCTTACCAATACTGCTGGCCACACGACTAAGCATCTTGAGCCTGCCTACTCCTCCCCAAAGATTACTTGCTCAGAGACACAACAAGAAGGTTGTTGTGCTACTGGCCCCTGCCCCTGGATGGAACTGGTGTGGTAGCAGCAGCTGATATTTTTTGAAGTGGTGGGGAGCGAAGAGGAAGCGTCCTCAAATTGAAGTAGTCTAATGTGCAGGATTAAGCCTAATGGTGAGCAGCTGGTTTATATACTTACCGAAAACCAGAAGGGGCTGGCTGGATCAAACCAAAGACCTATCTCTTCCACTGTTCCAACAAGGTCAGCCAGATGTTTCTGGTATGCTCACAAGCCAAACATGAAGACTGCTGCTGTTTCGAAGTCCCTTGTTCCTCCCCGGTATTTTGTGTTCTGAAGTCTAATGCTTTGGAATATTGGTGTGTTTGCTAATTCATGCCTCTCACAAATAATGGCTCACAGGAAGCTTCAGGGTGGCTTATATGATAATGTGAAGGACCATGACTCAATGGTCCAACCTGTAATGATCTCAGGCAGGCAAGGAAGCCCGGATAAGAAGGAATGACTCTCTGGCAGTTTTATGTACGTTTATTTACCCCAAAAACCCCATCCAGAGCACAGCTCCTCACCTGCTCGCATTGACGATAGTTGGGTCAGTCTGAATCTTCATCCCTCCCACAGCAGGAAGGGCACCTAATTCCCGCCCTTCCCCTCTTGCCCTTCCGTTGTCCTCTGATCTTATCCTGTCTCCTGGAACGGGGACTGAGAGGCTGGCCTTCCCCCTCCCCACTTTCACTTGACACAGTCTCAGTACTCTGCTTATCTGCTGATTGCCTAGCAACGCTCTGGCTGCCTCCCAACTCTCCCACTTCTTGAGAGCTAACAGCATCCTCTATGGGATTGGGGGGGGTCAAACTGCCCCTTCTCGGCTCTGTCAGCCAGCTCTCATCTGCAGAGTCAGTCCCCCTTTCACTTAGCTCAATTACTGACTCTGTCTCTTCCCCTGCGCTCTGGTGAGCTACGTTCCTGACACAACCCATACTTTGATTGGAAATGGTTCAGTCCCCAGCATCTCCAGGAAAGACTTGTTCTGGAGAGCCACTGTCAGTCAAGTGTGTAGACAGCACCACTGAGATAAATGGACCAATGTTCTCGCTTGGTGAAAGGCAGCTTCTTATGGATGTAAAATACGAGCAATAGATAGATGATAGATATAGACATAGATATGGATATAGATATGGATATGGATATGGATATAGATATGTAGATATAGATATAGATATAGATATAGACATAGACATAGATATAGATGATAGATAGATGATAGATAGATGATAGATAGATATAGATAGATAGATAGATAGATAGATAGATAGATATCTCAAAACATCAGAGGAGCAATGTATGAAATGCAACCATAAAATCCATAATAAGAAAGTCCCACTGATCTGTCATATCTGATAGTCCTACACTCCGCGAATCAAGGTGTATTTAGGTATTCTTTTAACTCATGTAGGAATGAGTATGGGAGGGAGAATGTGGCAATATAATGCACTTAACCATCAAATATGGAAAATTTATATAAAGCTATAAGAATATCATCTGTATTATTATATGTTACCTGTTAGGGTTTCAGGATCACCTTTTATGCATACCAACATTAAAACTAAAAACCAATAGGAAGAACTAAGAACAGGAGTTTATTTTATTCTACTATATGCGCAGGTGATTGATTCCTTTGGACTGACATGAGCAATAAATTTCTTTTAGGCATCAACATAATATTAAGTCAGGGTGGAAATCCTGAGTGACTTTTCAGAAACATCAATACAGTGGTACCTCGGGTTAAGAACTTAATTCGTTCTGGAGGTCCATTCTTAACCTGAAACTGTTCTTAACCTGAAGCACCACTTTAGCTAATGGGGCCTCCCGCTGCTGTCGTGCTGCCGCCACACGATTTCTCTTCTCATCCTGAAACAAAGTTCTTAACCCGAGGTACTATTTCTGGGTTAGCGGGGTCTGTAACCTGAAGCGTCTGTAACCCGAGGTACCACTGTATGTCTTTACAAACGTAGTTAACGTAGTGCTCTACATCTTAAGACGGCTACAGTAATAAACTGGGTTTCACAAGAACAAAGGAAAACAAATATCCATTCTTAGGATTTAGAAATCAATGTGATCACAGATTCTATTTTGCTGTTTTTACAGAGTTTGTCACAGAACTCTTGCAAGGTTGCAAAATCTACCTAATACCTTCTTTTTTCTGATTGCCTTGGGTGCAATTCTAAAACCTGCTTTCTGGTACTGAAACTTCTTTGGTGGTGAGATGAAGTTATATCTTGAATGATGCTCCTGACAGATCTCATGCAGAGGCACTGATAACCAGAATAAAGTGTTTCTCAAGGACGTAATCCAGTATGCTTTGCCATATGGAATGAAATCCCATACTGCCATCGTCAATATCCTTTTGGGGGAAACTTAATATGAGGAATAAAGTGATCATAAAGAGGTGTGATTGAGATGAAATGTCAGCACTGTATGAACCTTCGGTGAATAATTTAATGACACATATTGGGCTGGTATCAAAGAAACCTGGCCAGGATTTTGAAAATCAGATTTTAATATAAAAGGTGATGCCCAGCTTTGGACTGTTGAATAAAATGGATTGTCTGCTCTTGTCAAGAATGAACAGAACATGGTGGACAAAGTTCAAGCAAACACATTCACAATGTTCACCATGGCAAATGGGCAACCACTTATCAAGTATAGTAATTTAAATCACTGAAATTGTAAATGCTTGTATGCATTAATATGTGTTTAAATTTGATTGGTTGGTAACTGAATTCTAGAGAGTTCTCTAGTGGTTTTCGTGTGGTTGGCCAGCAATGGTCACATGGGAAGTATCTAGTGAAGGAGAGATTCCATTTTATGTGAAGCAAGAGGACTGTGTTTTAGAATCCACTGTGAACACTGCCAAGTTGAACAGAGCGTTGGAGTGTTTCTTCTCTGCTTGAAAGCAAGAGAGCAAAGCTGCAAGAGAGGGTGAAAGTTGAAATCTCTCATAGGAGCTGCTAATGGAGATACGGAAGGCTGAGTGCTGAGCTCTGGAAAGGGAGGAAAATACAGTTTTTTGGAAGTTAGAAGAGACTGTAAGCCCATGCTTGGAGAAGCATATGACTGTATATAGGTAAAGGGACCCCTGACCATTAGGTCCAGTTGTGACCGACTCTGGGGCTGCGGCGCTCATCTCACTTTATTGGTCAAGGGAGCCGGCATACAGCTTCCGGGTCATGTGGCCAGCATGACTAAGCCGCTTCTGGCAAACCAGAGCAGCGCACGGAAACGCCGTTTACCTTCTCACCGGAGTGGTACCTATTTATCTACTTGCACTTTGATGTGCTTTCGAACTGCTAGGTTGGCAGGAGCAGGGACCAAGCAACGGGAACTTACCCAGTCGCAGGGATTCAAACCGCCAACCTTCTGATCGGAAGTTCCTAGGCTCTGTGGTTTAACCCACAGCGCCACCCGTGTCCCATGACTGTAAATAAGATTAATTCATCTACAACCATAAGTTTATGCAAGTAAAGCTTTTGAATGCTAAAGTCTGAACATTGGTTTAATTTCCTAAGAAGGGTGTCAGTCATATATATAGGAACTGATGTTCTTAGCTACTCACTACTCTTACACTCAACACCACTCTCTAGTGAGTGTAATGAGCAGAAATCTTTCTTCCCAACTTTGAAGCCACAGAGATGGATGGGTCTGCATGAGTGGTTGTGTAGTGAGTCCCACCACGAACTCAGCTCTGATGTCAGGAGGAAGATGGAGGCGTTGCTTTGTTATGTGCAAATGGATTTAGATACCTATTTGGTCCATAAATTACCATATAGCAGGGGTCAACAAACTTTTTCAGCAGGGGCCGGTCCACTGCCCCTCTGACCTTGGGGGGACGGACTATATTTTTATTTGGGGCGGGGAAAATGAACAAATTCCTATGCCCCACAAATAACCCAGAGATGCATTTTAAATAAAAGGACACATTCTACTCATGTAAAAACACACTGATTCCCGGACCGTCCGCGGGCCAGATTGAGAAGGCGATTGGGCCGGATCCAGCCCCCGGGCCTTAGATTGCCTACCCATGCCATATAGCATATATTCAACACTAAAAACAGCAACAATTTGTTGTTGATAAAGGACAGCTGGACATCACCTTCAGCGTTTCTGTGCGCTGCTCTGGTTCACCAGAAGCAGCTTAGTCATGCTGGCCACATGACCCGGAAGTTGTATGCCTGCTCCCTCAGCCAATAAAGCAAGATGAGCGCTGCAACCCCAGAATCATCTGCAACTGGACCTAATGATCAGGGGTCCCTTTACCCTTTACCTTTTACCTTCAGTAGCTTAGGGCCTCATCAAACCTAAATCCAGACCTGACCAGAGGCATGTTAGGCACCACTGCCTGAAGGTGTTCCAGGCACCATTAAGAAAGAGTAACATCAAAAAGGCTGTACAGTGGTACCTCGGGTTAAGTACTTAATTCATTCTGGAGGTCTGTTCTTAACCTGAAACTGTTCTTAACCTGAAGCACCACCTTAGTTAATGGGGCCTCCCGCTGCTACCGCGCCTATGGACAATTTCTGTTCTCATTCTGAAGCAAAGTTCTTAACCCAAGGTACTATTTCCGGGTTAGCGGAGTCTGCAACCTGAAGTGTATGTAACCTGAAGTGTATGTAACCTGAGGTACCACTGTACAGAGAAGGGGTACAATGAGTACCTACTTTCTCACCCAACTCCAGAATGTAGCAATTCCTGACAAGAAAAGCTTGTGACCTTCAAGGCATTGGAAAATTTCTGACAAAAAAAAGCAAGTAAGCAAGTACACAACCGAGGTGTATAAAATGAAGCCCGGTGTGGAGAAGGTGGTTAGAGAAAAGTTTTGCTCCCTCTCTCATAACAAGTATGTGGAATGACTGCATTGGGGGCCAAGAGAACAACGCGCACGACTGCCTCTTCCCACACAGAACTTCAGTGAATTTGTCTTCACAAGCCAGAGAGCAGATGCAAAGTGCATTCTTCACCCTCAGTGAATGAGGCACGAAGGCCTCTGCAAGGCTCATTAGAGGCAAGACATGCAAGGGTGCTGTGGAAATTTGGGAGTGCCAGGATTGGGAACAGATGCTGGTGGTTTATTCTGGCAGCATGGCTCCCGCAACTCTGCCTAGGCTTTCAAGTCTGAGGTTTAGCAGGCTGCGCTATATCTAGGTTATGATGATATGGCCTCTTACTGTGAGACATACGGATCTGTCTAGCCTCGTATCGTCGGTTCTGATTGACAGCTGCTCTCCCACTCCCAGGCAGAAGTCTTTCTCAAGTTGTAGGTGGTGGTGAATTAGCAGGTGGGGATGTGCATAACCAGCAGGTTTATAAATCCAAAAAGCAGAACAAGGTGAATAATAATAATAATAATAATAATAATAATAATAATATATTATTTATACCCCGCCCATCTGGCTGGGTTTCCCCAGCCACTCTGGGCGGCTTCCAACAGAATATTAAAATACAATAATATATTAAACATTTAAAGCTTCCCTAAACAGGGCTGCCTTCAGATGTCCTCTAAAAGTCTGGTAGTTGTTTTTCTTTTTGACATCCGGTGGGAAGGCGTTCCACAGGGCGGGTGCCACTACTGAGAAGGCCCTCTGCCTGGTTCCCTGTAACTTGGCTTCTCGCAGCGAGGGAACCGCCAGAAGGCCCTCGGCGCTGGACCTCAGTGTCCAGGGAGAACAATGGAGGTGGAGACACTCCTTCAGGTATACTGGACCAAGGCTGTTTAGGGCTTTAAAGGTCAGCACCAACACTTTGAATTGTGCTCGGAAACGTACTGGGAGCCAGTGTAGGTCTTTCAAGACCGGTGTTATGTGGTCATCCAGTTTTGCCTGCCTAAGCTAATATGGAGGTTAGACAATGTCTGTATTGAACATTCATTATCATTTGGTGCCAGGTTCATTGAATTCTGACCCTCCCCCCTCTCACGGCAGACAGCCAAGGAAGCCAAGGAAGTAGACAAGGAAGCTCTTGTTGTTGTTTAGTCATTTAGTCGTGTCCGACTCTTCGTGACCCCATGGACCAGAGCATGCCAGGCCCTCCTATCTTCCACTGCCTCCCGCAGTTTGGTCAAACTCATGTTCATAGCTCTTAGCCAGTCTTGATTCAATACTCACAGCAAGCAGCCTCTGTACGCTTCCTCTTAAGTTAATGGTATTGCTCCAACTGAACTCCTCCCCCCTTAGTTTGACTTCCGAAATGTTCAAAGACCAAGATACAGCTTCTGATTGGTGCAGGTGCTCCAGAAACAATAGCCAACAGCCGCATCGGATGTTCAGCTTCCAAAAAACGTCCGAAAACCAGAACACTTACTTCCAGGTTTTCAGCATTTGAGAACCAAGGTATGCAGTTAAATCCCTCCTGCAAAATTCTTTCTTTCTTTCTGCCTCCCTCCAAAATTACTTTGCGTCCTTTCGCTAAAGGCTGTGAAAAGCTGTGAAAAACAAGTGATGCTTTTTGTGGGGGCAAAAATGGTTGCAAAATTGACTTTTTAAAAAAATATAATTTTTATTAGTTTTTTTTAAGATATCATTTTCAACAGTAATTAAACATATTTTTACATCTTATTCAAATTTTTGACTTCCATCAATCCTGTCTGAAAATTTTCCAATCTCTCAGTATGCATTTCTTATCTTCCCTATTACATTTTAAACTCACAACCAATATCTCTATCTTTTTATACTTTGTAACACTTCGTATATTTCCCCTTACAAAACTTCTTGTAGTCCTAATAGCGTAATTTGTTGATTACAGTTGCTCTACAAATAATTCATATACTTCTTCCAATCTTCTGTAAATCTCTGGTCCCGCAGGTTTCGAATCCTTTCTGTCATTTTGTCCAATTCTGCATAGTCCATTAATTTCGTCTGCCATTCTTCTTTCGTCGGAATTTCTTCTTGTTTCCATTTCTTGGCTAATAATACTCTTGCCGCAGTTGTTGCATATAAAAACAATTTAACATCTTGCCTATTAATGTCCTGACCTATAATACCAAGTAAAAATGCTTCTGGTTTTTTTAAGAATGTGTATTTCACCATCTTTTTTCATCTCATTATATATCATTATATATATTTTCGTGATATATAATGATATGCAAAATTAACATTTAGAAAGAGAACAAATGCCATGCCCGTTGCTGTGGGTTGAACATAGGGGGGAGAACAGAGGGTGGGGGTGGGAATCCAGTCTTCCTGGTAAGATGTAAAGTCAATTGCAATTGCTCTTGTAGGTAACACCAGAAGAAGTGCTCCATAGCTTCCATGAACATAAGTCCATAAATCTGGAGTGGCGAGGGACCTGCAGCCCTCCAAGTATTGCTAAACTACATCTACCATAATTCCTGACCACAACACCTCAAAAGCCACAGGTTCCCTTGCCCCTACGGTAAACTAAATAAGATCATCATTATATTAATTGTTGTCTTTTGTTCTTTAAAAATATTGAATACAACTTATTTTAAATTCACAGCATGCCCTCCACATTTTTAAAAAATAATATTTCTTAAAAGTTCCATTTTAACAATCCAATCAAAACCACATTAAAAACATTCCAATGCCCTCCCCATTTTAGCTTAGCACTGATATTAACTGTAGGGACACGGGTGGCGCTGTGGTCTAAACCACAGAGCCTAGGGCTTGCCGATCAGAAGGTCGGCAGTTCGAATCCCCATGATGAGGTGAGCTTCCGTTGTTCGATCCCAGCTCCTGCCCACCTAGCGGTTCGAAAGCATGTCAAAGTGCAAGTTGATGAATAGGTACCGCTCCGGCGGGAAATTAAATGGTGTTTCCGTGTGCTGCTCTGGTTCGCCAGAAGCAGCTTAGTCATGCTGGCCACATGACCCCGAAGCTGTACTCCGGCTCCCTCGGCCAGTAAAGCGAGATGAGCGCTGCAACCCCAGAGTCGGCCATGACTGGACCTAATGGTCAGGGGTACCTTCACCTTTGAATATTAATTGTATTGTGCCAGAAAGATGGTCGCTTTTTAAATGAATATCAACTCCAATATGATCACGTTGTTGGAGATGGTGGGCCAGAAGAGGCAAGTCACCAGAGGATCAGGGCCGTCCTATGCATCAGGGCAGATCAAAGCCGGCCAGCCCCAGTCCCAAGTTGCAGGAGCAACATTGTTGGTTGCTAGTTCCTGCCTGAACCCTGTCCTGCTTTCCTGCCTGAGCTCCTGACCCGCCCTGGCTCCCTGGTTGCAACCCTGTTCCTGACTTCACCCGAATCCCTGACCTGCACCCAGCTACGGCTACTACGGACTGCCTCCATGTTGCACCTTTGACCATGGACTGGACTTGGACCTCGCCTCTCGGGTAACCCACGGGACCAGCACAGCATCCCTGCCAAATCCTGGTGGATCAGGCTGATGGTCCATCTCTTCCAGCATCCTCTTCTCTCAGTGACCAACCAGACGTCTATGAGATGCCTACAAGCAGAACCTGAATGTATCAGTACTGGTATCCTGATTTTGTTTTTTCTTTGTAATGTTTTGAAATTTTGGAACAGCTGCTTAGAAGTGCTTTTGCTTTGCTTTGCTTTCATGTAAAGCAGTCACAAAATAAATAAATATATTGATCTTTCAGCCAGGGAGAAATTAATTTTGGCTGTAGTATGCCTTGACAGCTTGCGCTGCCTTTCCAGAAAATGACGGTTGATGGTTCTGAAGTGATCAGAATGGAGCGTTCAACCTTTCAGCCGCATTCTAGGCCTTGTTCATGCTAAATTCTTTCTCTCTCCCCACAACTTACAGGTGCACATTCATTCGTCATGCTCCTGCCCCTACTTCTGGCACTGCATTTCATTATGCTCATTCCTGGTGAGTGTCATTTTCTTTGCTGCAGCCAAGTCTTGAAAGTTAACTCCGCCTGCTAAAATTATTAGATCGCAGTGCCAACGGAAGCTTCCTTCTGGGACTAACAGTGGATTGAGCACTGGGGAAGGAGGGTACTTCCTTGGGACCACAGTGGGGAGGAGAGCTCATTCCTCCTTCCCCATGGTTTGAATCCTGATCGGGGCTCCCTGCTGGTGTTCGTTTAGGCACGGAGCTAGAGATGAAGAGTGTGGACTTGATATCCCGCTTTATCACTACCCTAAGGAGTCTCAAAGTGGCTAACATTCTCCTTTCCCTTCCTCCCCCACAACAAACACTCTGTGAGGTGAGTGGCCCTGAGAGACTTCAGAGAATTGTGACTAGCCCAAGGTCACCCAGCAGCTGTCTGTGGAGGAGCGGAGACGCAAACCCGGTTCCCCAGATTATGAGAATACTGCTCTTAACCACTACACCACACTGGCTAAATAAATGCAGGTACACATTTAGCATCTCATCTGCTTTGACCCTCAGTCAGAGCCGTCTTTCCCATTGCGCTTACTGGCACGTTGCGCCAGGGAGCCAGCTTCTCAGGGGCGCCCCAGCGAGTGGGGGAGCCGCGTGGCTTTGCCAGTGGCCTCCCCTTTCCCTGCACGCCCACCAGCTGCGCCCCATCAACCATATGGCTGGCAGGCGTGCAGCTTACCACCCAAGCCTCCACAGGAGGAGAGCGATCCCCACAGAGACTTAGGGTGGAAACTGCGCCCCACCAACTATATGGCTGGCAAGCATGCATCTTCCTTCCCAAGCCTCCATGAGAGAAGAGCAATCCCTGCAGAGGCTTGGGAAAAGGTTGACAACTCTGGCAAACAGGGGGTGGGGTGCTGGAGGGATCTTTGCACCACAGCGCTGGATATGCTTAAGACGGCCCTGCCGTCAGCCACTATACCACAGCTGCTCTACATTTGCACACACAGCTGCACATGGAAGTACAGGATCTGAGCATCCTTTTCAGGCAACGCACTTTCTGCTTCCTGCAAGCAGTCATTGGGGATGGTGTGGTGGTCCTAGCGGTCAGGGATATATGAATTTGGCAGCAAAGATTGTTGCCTCAAGCTTGAATCATTCTTCGTTTGATATACCATCTAAAAAAACCCCTACTTCGGGAAATTCTCTTTTAAGTCATTAGTTGGTGTTACCTTGTGCATATTGTATGCTACTTGACTTGGAATGAAGATACAATTTGGTAGCTATATAAAGTGTTGTGATCGAATTATTAGCCTGTCGTGTTGCTTTTAGGTTACCAGGGATATATGAATGGTAGAACTTCCCATGCAAATTATTTTTAATATATTTTTAATATTCTGTTGGGAGCCTCCCAGAGTGGCGGCTCCCAACAGAATATTAAAAACACGATAAAACATCAAACATTAAAAACTTCCCTAAACAGGGCTGCCTTCAGATGTCTTCTAAGTCAGATAGTTGTATATTTCCTTGACACCTGAAGGGAGAGTGTTCCACAGGGCAGGTGCCACTACCAAGAAGGCCCTCTGCCTGGTTCCCTGTAACCTCACTTCTCACAGCGAGGGAACCACCAGAAGGCCCTCGGAGCTGGACCTCAGTGTCCGGGCTGAATGATGGGGGTGGAGACGCTCCTTCAGGTATACTGGGCCGAGGCCATTTAGGGCTTTAAAGGTCAGCACCAACACTTTGAATTGTGCTCGGAAACATACTGGGAGCCAATGTAGGTCTCGGCGGTCACTCCCAGTCACCAGCCTAGCTGCCGCAAAAACGATGGGTTCAGATTGTGACTTTGAGGTGAGGGAAGGGAAGAGTTCAGCTATCCTTCCCTGTGCAGCCTTTCTGGTGTTAATGTTATCACACACACACCTTTATAGTTAGGACCAAAAAAACCACATTGGTACCACCATCTTGTTTAGATTAGCCCCAAGTGTAGTCGACCTTCCAGAATCACACAAGAAGAAACAGCTGGTGGTTTAAGCTATGAATATGGAACCTGAGGCACTCCAGGTGTCATTGAACTACAATTCCATCATCCTTGACGATTGACCATACTGACTGGGGCAGATGGGACTTGGAGTCCAGCGACATCTTGAAAGCTTCATTTAAGCTATTCACCCTTCAGAAGGAGTGAAATGCCTGACCAGCAAAACACTTTTTTAATGACCAGCCACTCGTTGTGTCTCCTTTTCTTACAGCACTGAAAGTAACTTTCAATAGCATACTAAAAAGAATCAGTTGTCGTTTTCTGTATGAATCCTGTTCTGATTCATGGAAATTACTCTGCAGTTTTCCGTAAAGAGACACTGATTGTGCAACTTCAGCTCAAGGTGTGTTGAAATGGAGCCACCTGAGCTGTTTTGTGCAAATGGAGAGATGCCCAAGAGATCTCGACAGCTGCGTCTGCGTTCTTTATTTACAGCTTTTCCGCTTTTGCCAGATACGAAACACATACAAAAATAATACTCTAAAAATATACATGGCGCATACAATTTCTACATGGGAGGCGCCAACTATGGAATTCTTTCTCCCATTCACTGAGCATATAAAGCAAACATCCCAGTTGAGCATAATGCAATGATGAATCACGGCTTCACAGCCAGAACACAATTTATCCTGTGCAAGCTATCGGCACAGTCCACTCCATGCCCTGTTCCTGAACGGTCACTATGCAAACGCTATTCTCTGTGCATAGGAATGGGGTTGTTGGGTTCAGCAGTAGGAGAATCTTCAAAGAACACCATGCTAGGATGGAAATTAAGGGACTTATCTCCTATGTTTTACAGTGGTACCTTGGGTTAAGAACTTAATTCGTTCTGGAGGTCCGTTCTTAACCTGAAACTGTCCTTAACCTGAGGTACCACTTTAGCTAATGGGGCCTCCTGCTGCCACCACGCCACCGCCATGCGATTTCTGTTCTCATCCTGAAGCAAAGTTCTTAACCCGAGGTATTATTTTTGGGTTAGCAGAGTCTGTGACCTGAAGCGTCTGTAACCCGAGGAACCGCTGTAATGGTTTACAGTCCAATCCTGTACATGTTTACGCAGATATAAACCCCACTGAGCTCAATGAAGCCTTCCCTGATGCAAGTATGTGTGGGACAGCAGCCTTAACTAGTGCAGTGGTACCTCAGGATGCGAACGGGATCCGTTCCAGAGCCCCGTTCACATCCTGAATAGCATGTAAGACGTGACGGCACGTCTGCATGTGCACGGGTCGCGTTTTGCCGCTTCCGCGCATGCGCGTGACGTCATTTTGAGTGTCTGTGCATGCACAAGCGGCAAAACCCAGAAGTAACGCGCTCCGTTACTTCCGGGTTGCCACGGAGCGCAACCCAAAAGCGCTCAACCTGAAGCACATTCAACCTGAGGCATGACTGTATTTATCTCTTGATGCTTCCATTAAACAGAATAAAGTTCCATACATAGAGTCCTAGACTCCAGAGAAGTAGTTCCATTAGTGCAATGACCTTTGGCTGCATGGTGGAACTTCTGCTCCCTGTACAGCCCCTGTACGACCCCTAATTTTGTCCTGGGGGTTCCCACAACTTTCCACAGCAGATTTGGGGAGGGTGCAGGGGCACACAAGGAGAGGAGAGGAGGGGAAATGCTTGTGCAAATGGAATCATACCGCCCACAGTTCAAACTTGTTCCCATGGACTTTTCCTACTTTTCTGTTTCATTGTCTCAACATTTTCATCTGACCAACCTCTATATGTCAACCAACATTGTTTTGAAATGTCTTCTACCAAGCCTTGTGGCTCATGCTGCTGACAAGAGGAGCAAGATTTTCTATGTCAGAAATGTTGAAACGCACACTTTCCATCTCTACCAACTGATGAACCCAGTTGCTGAGGAACGCTAAATTAAACTGAGTGTACGCAATTAAACTGTGACACCACCCCCCACTCCAGGAACAGATTAATTCATTTTTAATTTAGTCTAATCGTTCCCAGGGTCGCTTTGAAAATAAGCTACGATTTACCAATGCTTTTCATTCCCAGAGCCAGGGAGAACCTGGGAAGAGCCTCCTGATAACCACTCATGGTACCAGTCTCTGCAGGTATGGCTTGTTAGAACATACAGGGCAATAGATGTTTATGTCTTGGTTTTGCATAAGCATTGTAGTTTCGAATATATTGATTTGCATAGATTTATGGAATACAATGGCTGAAGATGCAAGTGATCTTCCTCTCTCTATCCACACCAGAAGTGGTGTGATTTGGGTTCCAGATTGTGGGTGCCCAGCAATCCATGCACGCGTGAGAGAGATCTCTCCACCTGAAGAGATCACATGTGGTCAAAGAAGAAGAAGAAGAAGAGTTTGGATTTGATATCCCGCCTTTCACTCCCCTTCAGGAGTCTCAAAGCGGCTAACATTCTCCTTTCCCTTCCTCCCCCACAACAAACACTCTGTGAGGTGAGTGGGGCTGAGAGACTTCAAAGAAGTGTGACTGGCCCAAGGTCACCCAGCAGCTGCATGTGGAGGAGCGGGGAAGCGAACCCGGTTCCCCAGATTACGAGTCCACCACTCTTAACCACTACACCACACTGGCTCAAAGAGGGTTCTGGGTAGCCATGTTGATAAACGGGATACTATACTAGATTATAGGCCTCTTGTCTGAATTAGTAGGGCTCATACTATGTTCTTATCAGTTAATAAGTCTCTTCCTTTATATTTTCACCACTTGGGAAAGTTCTTTCTTTCTTTTTTTTAGTTCTTCGTCATGACTTCTTGGTTTATTTCTGTCGCCACAATAATGAAGCCACAGGTATTCTTTTGTTCATAACTCCAGCAGGAAAGGATGGCAAAAACGTCTTAGGTATTAATGGAACAGACGTCTTTTATTTAAAAAAAACCAGTCTGATATAGCTTGTAAGTAAATCTTGGTCAGTTGCGAAAAGCCATTTAGGTTCAAACACTTTGTTTTAGGTTCAAACGCTTTGTTTTAATGGTAAATTAGCAAGTTCGGTAAGTAAAATAGGCTAATCATTTAGGTTTGCTTCAGTTTGTTAGAAGTGTAGCCATAGACATACCCACGGGCTCGGGCTTCTCGTCAGCGGAGGGTTACGGGAACTAGCACCGAAGAAGTTCTCCCCCTTCTCCCCCTTCTTGCTCAACTTTTAGGAGCTTGAAAATGGTCTGGGGGTCCTCTTCTTTCTGCTGCAGCAACGCCATATCACCCTGGAATCTCCTCCCAAGGCTTTGGGGTCAGCTTAGCCTTAGCTTCCCCTTCTAGCTCCGCTAACGAATGCATACCTCCCGACCTTGGCAAAGTGGGAGATATGCGTCTGTCCGTGAGCAACGACTACCTGGAAGACCCCAGCAGGCATTCTCAATAAGGAAGTGAAAGTTGGAGGAGTGTCACTCCAATGAGGAGTGACAGTTGGAGAACTAGGCCTCAAACCTTCCGGCCTAAAAGAGCAGGTTTTAGCAGGGAAAGCCACCCCCCCACACACACACACTCAGAGGTGGAGATTTAAAGCACAGACCTGGAAAGAACAGGGCAAAATTTAAGTGTGGATAAGCCCTTAGATTTAAAAAGAAGGAGATGTTCCTGCCTCTCTCATGGCGCTCAACCCTTCCGGGCTGCCCTCGGAATGTAGAATCACTGTCATTTCTTTTAAATCTATTGTGTTCTTCAGAAAATGGGAGAAAGATTTGAGGACTATGTTAAGACCATAGATCTTCTTCTGCAGAAACTTGACAACTGGACGGAAGATCACTTGGGGGCTTTAGACCAGTTGGTGAATGAACATGTCATAAACCTATGGGAATGGCTGGAGCAACATAGCAAGGATCTCACCGCATGGCTCAATATGTACTTGTGGACCCTCCAAGAGCTCCATAATAGGTATATGGAAGGTTCTGACTACAGGCTGGGCAAAGAGATCCTACTTCATGACAAATGTTGGGAAGAAAACATCAGCAAAGCAGACATGTGGTTGAAACACCCAAATACTACCCTAAACAAGTGGCTGGAGGAGGACCTCATGACCTTCAACAAAGCATTGGAGATCCCGGGCAACAGTGTGGGCAATTCACGGCAAGAGTCTACAAAGATTCATATCCAGCACCCAGAAGACCATGTTAAAATCCTAGAGCAGTTATTGGCCGACTACACAGCAACTGCCACTAAGTGACTAGAGGGGTGCAGCACACTGAGAGAAGCATCTTCTCAGAAATCTGCCCCAAAGCTAGGAAGAGCACAAGCAACAGCACTGGGGGTTAAGTGCCTCAATGTCATGAAATGGCTAGAAGAGAATGTTGATGCCTTGGAACAGTGGCTGTTGGATTCCATGAATTGGCAAAAGAAACGAAAGATCATCATCTAAGCATTGTCAGATGTATTTGAATGAGTTCTGCATGAGATATCTCCCACCAGGACTTACGAAACTTAAACTGTGGGTTTCTACAGTCTATGAACTTGCAGGCTGTAATATTCCAACATGAATAAAACCTAAGCAAATATTTCCTGGATTCATTTTTTTATTATTTTGGCATATAATTTGCTGCTTCTTTTCTACCCTTCCAACGAACCCCCTACCAATCTTTCTCTCTAGATTTTATTTTCCATTTATTGCCTGGGCTTCTCATTTGGGCATCTCAGGGACGTGGCACAGACCATCCCAGGAAGAGCTATTCTTACTGTATTTTTTGCTCTATAAGTCTCACTTTTTCTCTCCTAAAAAGTAAGGGGAAATGTGTGTGCGTCTTATGGAGCGATTGCAGGCTGCGCAGCTATTCCAGAAGCCAGGAACAGCAAGAGGGATCGCTGCTTTCACTGTGCAGTGATCCCTCTTGCTGTTCTGGCTTCTGGGATTCAGAATATTTTTTTTCTTATTTTCCTCCTCCAAAAACTAGGTGCGTCTTGTGGTCTGGTGCGTCTTGTAGAGCGAAAAATACGGCACTTAGTGTGGTACAAAGGATTCATCCGCACGTTTTTCACTTGGTTTGCTGTGACCAATAAGCTACCTCAGAACAGCGCCCACAAGCAGCTTCCATATCTCCTCACCATAAACAGCATGCTTCAGGTTCTCAGTGGGGTCTGTTCACAGGTCAGCTGTGAGTCATCAGTAGTTAAGCCACCACAGTCATGTCTCCATAGGACTAGCCTTGTGTGTGACTGACGGCTTCAGCCTCACTCTTCTGATATTCAGACAAACGTAAATGCAAGCGGACACATTTGGTCTGAGCTATTTCAAACATATTGCTGTGGGTCTGAATCACAGACTTGGACGCCAGCATTCCTGAATTTCCAGTGGTTCAGATCGAGATCCCAGGTGTTTCTTGGCCTTTGCCTGCTGTAGCGAACTATTCTTCAAGTTAATTATGAGTTTCATGAGAGCTGCTCGTTGCCTCTCCAAAGCCTGGGATATTTTGGATTAGACTTACCCTTCCCTTAATGTCACAGAGTCCCTCAGACACATTACTCTGAATTCTAATTCTTGCTGAAGAAACACAAAGCCTACAAAGCATACCACAAGGCCTTCAAAGCATGTCTGTTTATATTTGAGCTCCAGCCTGCTGGCTCACTTTCCTCTTTTTCTCTTGGGTGGAAAAGGAAGAGCAGGAGGTCAGAAAAGGGTAATCTTTTTTTAATGCAGTGCTTTGGATAAAAACACACACTGACACAGCCAGAGTGAGACAGATATTAATGACATTATAGCTTATTCCTCTTAAGTTCTTAAATTCTATTTATCTACATTGATGGCTTTATTAAGACAGGGTCTTTTGCATCCATCCTACTGTGGGTGCAAATGTGCACTGCGCATGCATTCATGTGTGCACACAAAGAACCTAAAAGCATCTGCACAAAATTGATGCCATTTATTATTATTATTATTATTATTATTATTATTATTAGATGTTTTTATTAAAGGATTTTCTTAGTTAACAAGGGTGCATGCAACATCTCTGTTTTCGATTCATAGAGTCTTTTCTACAGGTCAGTTACATTCAGTGTGAGTCAGTTACATTCACCAACCAAGTATGCCACACAATCCCATACACTGAGGATGGAACGAAACAATGGGTGCACATGGAAATGGATACAACTGGAAATATCCCCACCATGGTGTACAAACCGATTCCTCCAAAACAAATTAAGAAAATCCCCACAATGCTAAACAGGTTCACACAGTCCATCTGGGATGTATTTTGGAATACCACACTGTAGGGCTGCCATAAGTCTGGATTTTCCTGGACGTTACTAGGATTTCAAAGGCAGAATTGATGTCCGGGGAGAATTTTGTGGGCTCCTTCCTCATTAGTGCTTGGATTTATTTTTGTCAGACTTGAGTTCTTTCTAAGTATGAACTGTTTTTAATTTGCTCTTATGGCGAACCACCTTGGGAGCCATTATGGCTGAAAGGCAATTATGAATATAGTAAATACGTAAAAATGAGCTGCTTAGATGTGCATAGCATCTAAAGGCCCTGGAGAATCTGATGATTGGCTTAGATAGGGATTCCCCACACTGAGAAAAACAAAAAGAGGCACAATGAGAAAAGTCATCCAGGAAACTGCCTTATCAGGCTGCTGTAATGTTATCTCAACTCCCTGCCAGATCATATTGTTAAATCACTTCTTCTGCTTGAAGGCCAGACAATGTGTTGTTGAATTTAATGCATAAGGTTGTTCTTTTTAAATGCAAATTGAACTCACTGGGAGGTCATGCTATAATTGGGAAGGCAGTGGGAATTTAACCCTTTCCTCCCCTGCTTCATTCCTGAGGGAATTCCCACACGCACACCCTCTGAAGGGGTTAAATTGTATGTGGAGGAAATCCTCCATGACACCAAATGGGAGATTTCCTCCCCAGGCAAATTAGCCATGATCCTTCTGGATCATGTAATTTTAATAATAATAATAATAATAATCCCCTCCACACTTGCTGAAATCTCAATAATTATTGTACCTCCCCCTCCCCAGCTGATACTATTTGCATTTAAAAAACACCCAACCAACTACACATCAAATGCAAAGGCACATTTAACACCTCATCTGGGATGTATTTTGGAATACCGCACTGTAGGGCTGCCATATGTCCAGATTTTCACGGACATTACCGGGATTTCAAAGGCGGAATTAACATCAGGGGGGTGTTCTGAAAGGCGGCACTTTGTCCTGGATCATAGGCAAGTCAATCGAAAAATCGTTTCTTTACAATTCTTTTCATTATGTATTTTACATGGCTGTTTCTTTATGATGTTTTATGATGACCTATACCTTTTTAAAAACCACAATTTCAATGGTTTCCTTAAAAAACACCTCAACAACCTTTTGAAATATGGCAACTCTACCACATTGGAAGTGGAAGTATAGCACAAAATGCATATTCGCCTGCATGTGGGAAGCCCAGAATTCTTAAAAAGAACAATTTAAGATTCTGGAAGTTGCATCTCATGCAAGGAATAAAGTCTTTACGCACATTTACTACAGCAGGATTGGAGGAAACAGAGGTTCATATACTTCCAAACAATGCTTTGGATTTTAATACAATGTTAATCACTCAGATTGTGCTGGCGAGAGAACTTGAATTTGCAGACGCCTGAACTAAGCTAACTATGGCCTTAATCCAATACCATAATGTTTTAGACTTATTTTATTTCAGACCCCTGGAATTTTGGCAGGGTGTGTGTGTGTGTGTGTGTAACAAGTAGTAACTTTATCCACTCTGATCTTCCTTTGTTAATTATTCCTTGCTCAACTCTGAAATCTCCAGGTCAAATAAGTGTCCTGAGAAAGATCCACAAACCAACTTATCAGCACATCAAAGGTGGAATCCTGAGGGACACAGCAAATGTTCTGTAGCTGCACCTGGAAAATGTTTCCCACTCTGTACATAGATTAGAAGATCTCAACATGCTGGGATACAACAGATCCTCTGAGTCAGTTTGCCAAGTGGACTCAGAAGTCGACAAAAACCAGGACACACAACTTCACAGAATGGAAGAGTGCCTCCATTGTCCCTCCATTGAGGAGAAAGCCAGCAGGAGAGGAGGTTTATACTAACACACATCATTGATCCTCCTGGTACAGTTATGTCTGATTTGAAAGGCAATAGCAGTCCAGGACCTCAAACTGAGCTACCTGATACCCAAGAACCTTCAAATCAGGAATAGGAAATATGTAGCCCTCTAGATGTTATTGAACTCCCAGCTCCTATCAGCTCCTGTTCACATGGCCAGTGGTGAAGGTTGTTGAGTGCAGCAACAACTGGGCAGCCTCAAATGGAGATATCTTCCAATATCTTAAGGTCTTTCACGTGGATGTTGGAGCTAGCTTGTTCTCTCCTGCTCCGAAGGGCAGGACCAAAACCAATGGCTTCAAGTTACAAGAAAGGATATCCCATGATATACTGTGTTATGTACTGAAGTTCTCACCCTGGACCAGCAGGGGGATACTGTAGATAGTTCAGGTCCACATATGCAAATAAGGGATCGAAAGTGACATTCAGTGATTGGATAGTTACAGAAAGTTGTTACAGTTACGTTATACTGGAGCTCTATATAAGCAGGCTGGCTGAACCCTTCAGTTCAGTTCTGTTCTGACCTGTGAATAAACAAGAGCGGTTTGGAGAATCAAAGTGTCGTCTGATATGTTCACCCACAACTTAACATACTGGGCCAAAGATTTTGGATATAATAAACAGCTAAAAGAATGGGAGAGGTTGTGGAAAGAATAAAATTCACAGCATGTAATGCTTTGAAAGAGAATATGATAAAAATGATGTATAGATAGTATATTACACCTGTGAAATTAGCTAAAATGTATAAGACAAATAATAAATGCTGGAAATGTAAAGAAAAAGAAGGATCTTTTTATCATATGTGGTGGGAATGTAAGAAAGTAAAAAACTTCTGGGAAATGATATATAATGAGATGAAAAAGATGTTGAAATATACATTTTTTAAAAAACCAGAAGCATTTTTACTTGGTATTATAAGTGAGAACATTAATAGACAGGACATTAAACTGTTTTTATATGCAACAACAGTGGCAAGGGTATTGTTGGCCCAGAAATGGAAACAAGAAGAAATACCGACGAAAGAGGAATGGCAGATGAAATTAATGGACTATGCAGAATTGGATAAGATGACAGGAAGGATTCAAAACCTGCAGGACCAGAGATTCACAGAAGATTGAAAGAAATATACGAACTATTTGAAGAGCAATTGTGATCAACAAATTACGCTAATAGGACTACAAGAAGTTTTGTAAGGAGGAATATATGAAATATTGCAAAGAAGATAAAGAAGAGAGACATTAGTTATGATACTTAAATGTCATAGTGAAATTAAGAAATGTAAATTAAGTGGAAAAGATTGGGAAATTTTCAGATGTGATTGATGGAAGTCAAGAAATTGTAAAGATTTAAAAGTATGTTTTATAATCGTTGAAAATGATATGTTAAAAAACTAATGAAAATATAGGAAAAAAGGAAAAAAGAAAGGAGATC